AGGATGAGGATATAGAGAGGGAGGAGGAAGAGGACATTGGTGAAGGTGTACACGGTATAGATGACAATGCTGGATGTGAATTTCAGGCATTCTTCGTATAAAGAAGGGATGTAAGAGGGGGGGACCAGGGTAACATTGAGGGAGGATGAGGAGTTGACGAACATGGCCTGTGGAAGAGAGTAAGAAAAGTAAGGGAGTCTGGGAGGCGAAACAATTTAATGTGCTTCAGAAGTTGCAACACCACCAAATCGTCCCTTATGCTCATGATATACAAAAGATACTGGGCCCTGTGTTGGCTATTTGTTAAATAAAGCATATGAATATGATCTTGTCTTTCTGTAAGGTTTTATTCAAGTCATCCATGAATGGTCTCAACACAACTGTCACACATTTTCGTATGTGAAAGAAAGAGCCCCGATTGTAAGAAGCAGTATGGTTTTATCCCTGTTGGAGCGTCACTCTAACACAGTTACACATTCCTGAGTTCTGGGACAGTAAACAGACAGTTAGTGTGGTGAGATGATCATGTTCATGGCTTCTTAGTGAAGTCTCAACATCTCACTGTTTACTTGGACATAGAGTGTAGTTAGAAATGTCTTTTCAACATAGATTAGCCTAGCAAAGTTCAAAGGTGTCCACAAATGCGTTAAATTGCCAGATTATCTACATCAGAGGAAGAGCTGTAACAAACAAAGCAAATGAAAACAATTAAGAAGAGAGGATAACTGATATAAATAATAATAGTATTAATAATAATAATAATAATAATAAATCCCACAAACAGCATGTGTTTCTGTATTGGTACGACAGCTCAATTAAGATTAAATTCTTAATGACGCACCATATCCCTAAATCTACTGATAAAATCTAGTGATCTAATATCACGTCTTTGTCGAGGCTATCCATCCCGTGTCTCTCTGCCTGAGTAAGCACATAATTCAAATCTCCCTTGTACTGTATAAATGGTCCCCACACTCCCTTTTGCCCTTAAAGTTGTAGGATTTCTCAAGACAGCACGACAACAAAATCAATCAAATGATTAGTTCAGTACTCTGGAGGAGTTTAGGTGTCAGAATTAGTACTTGGAGAGAAAAAATTGGCTCTGAGCATCCCTAGTTTCAACAGCATTTTAAATTATAATAAGCAATAAATGTCAATCCCTCTAAATAGGCTTACCACTGAATATCAGATAATTACAGAGAATATAGGAAATGTATTTGAGACACACCTTGTCAGTTGTGTTTTCTTTTGGGGTTGATGGACTGATGAAGCTGCGTCTGTTTCCTGCTTCTCCACAGACTGCCATGCACTGCTGTACCTTGTAGTTCTTTGCATTTAACAAAACAACCATGACCATTTTTATGGTCCATGTAGGGTTGTCATGGAAGGAATTTTCCTGGCAGTGATTTAGGGTGGCTTAACAGCGCAGTATGCAGTATTATCACCATTTTTGTTGTTTTTGCCAGTGCCTGATTTGGACCGAATAAGCTGACAGCAGAACCCTAACCAAAATTGTCTGGGTTTGTATGTTGGTAGCTTTTGCTACTATCAGTGTATATGTTGGCAAACAAGTTACAAAAAATAGGTGACAATATGTTGTCTATGTTGTAGAGTACAAAAAAATGTAATGCTTAGTGCACACTGTGGCCACACTTCGTTTTAAAAAACAATTTGAAGGCATCCTTATCAAAAATGTTTGTCTATATTACATTATATCAGATATCAACATCGCCCTCATACCCTGGAGCTTATGTATCATTTTATAATAGCAACCACCCACAATACCCTATCAATAACCTAGCAATACCCTAACCATATACTATCTAACAACACCTGAGCAAAAATCTGTAATAGCCTATCAGTGTCCTGCCTCCAACGTATCAGCATAGAAAACACCCAGTCCAAGCATCTTTTGCTTTTCAGAAACTACTTTTTTTTTGTTTTAACCAATCACTCCAGGAAAGAACACAGATTCAACCAATCACTCTGAATTCTGCACTACCTTGCAATTTTATCAATTTGAACAATCATTATAGTTTCCCAAGCAAAACGTTGAGCCATACATCACCAAACTACTAGAGATAGATAAAGTTGCCTTCGATTTGAATGAATTATCCAACAAAAAACAAAAATCACAACTATTATGGCAATTTTCACTGTCTCGCACAATAAACTGCATAAAAATATCACAGCAGCATTTCTAAAAAATTGCAATGCATGTTGTGATATTTTTATGCAGTTTATTGTGCGAGAAATCAGGCATTTTAGGATGCAACAGTGGAGTGGACTGGTTAACTATCAATTCACTAACTGTTGTCTTTCTAGTTTTGACTCAAGTTGCGACTACAACATACTAGTGCTCCAGCTCTGTGTAGAAACAGTACAGGTAGAACCAGGCTGCTTGGCAGACAGAGCCATATTGCAGACATTGCCATCACACATTCATTTCTTCCAATTTCTGCCTCTAAGTAGAACAAGACATTCATAACCAGTAGCCCACTCATCCTGCACACCAGTGTCCCCATTATGGCTATGATAGTGTGGAAAGCCCTCTGCTTTGATTGGTCAATTTGTCCCCTATTCCCACCCACTTTCCCCAGCCCTAGGCGAATCAGAACATAAATAACACAAAGGCTGCAGAAATAGATAACAATTACAAAGATGGCAAAGAAGGAAAAAAATATAGCGCTGGGGAAATCAGGGAAATACAAAGCTGTTAAAGATGTCAGTCCAAGGGAGACCACCCAAGTGCAACCAATGCTGATGTTTCTGACCTTCACCCCACCTGCTGTTCTCAGACCCATGTAGGTGATGGGGTGAACAACAGCCAGGTAGCGCTCCACACAAGTCAGACAGTGAAAAAGTGTCTGTCCAGGGTAAGTGATGCTAAAAAAATAATATCCAACCATAATTATCCTCACACTACACATGTAGATGGCACAAAAGTAGAAGAAAGTTCCCAAAACACCGATAATCTCCACCGTGACCATGTGGTAGATGAAGACATCAGAGTGGCTTGTTGCACCAGAGGACTGATGCCTCCATCGCTGGAAACCCATCCAGAGCACGAGGATGTAGATCGGGAGGATGAGGAGGTTGGTGAAAGTGAAGGTTGTGAAGATTATGGAGCTCATAGCGTCGTCAAAGCATGTGAATATGTGAGGATAGAGGAGGGAGTTTGAGTAGCAGAGGAGAGGGGGTCGCACGGATATGTTGGAGGAGGAGTTGGCTTGCATCTTTGATGATTGAATGCCTGAGGAAGAGAAGATAGAAAGACTTCATAATGAGTTGCAAGTTTTTGGTTTTGGTGCCAGACTTAGTGGTGTCAGTTATACGACACTGGCCACTAATGGGAGGCTAAGATATCTACAATAGTTCTTAGCCTTGAATTTTTAAGATCCTAGCTGTTGCATGGCAACATGAAAACAAAGCTTGAATAGTTCCAGGTTTTGAGCTAGAATTGAGGGTTGGTTAACAGATTAATGGAATTCAGCTCAATAAATTGTATTTGTCACTAATGTATTTAGTTGGAAACGGTGGTGTAGTGCAGCGTACCCTCTTATTTTTCTAGTCCACTTACTTCTGATCAGTAGTATTATGATTCAGTAGTGAGCTGATGGATTTTACCTAGGTAGGCATGACCTTGTTTTCATGATTGGATGCAATAAGGAATACTTTGCTCAAACTGCATAATTATGTAGTTGCCTCACTCGTCTGTTGGCAAGTATTCATTGCTCCTTTCCTGTAGTTAATGTAATTTTATAATGATCCTACCTCGTTAGGTTAAGCAGCAGAAGTTAAGTGACAATTTGTGGTATAAATTACCTACTACTACTTCAGGCACCATTAAGCTACTAGTTACGAAGAAATATTTGAAACCAGGCCCTTAATGACTGCTGTTGCCAGTTATTACTGGTAGATAAAGCTGGTTATCATCTGCATAATGACAATCAACAAAAAAGCATCTATGCTTTAACACTAGGAGTGTTTATCCTTTATTGGATGGGCTGCTTTAAAATACAATTTAGGGCATAAATTAAGGGTATACCCACTTCTTCAGGCACCATTACACCACTGATAATAAAATAAATAAAAAATTTGACATCTGGCACTTAATGGCTGTTGTCACAAGTTATTACTGGTAGATAAAGCTGAGTGTTTTCTGCATAACATGAAAATAAAATTTTCCCAAAAACACACCCAAGAAAAAGCAAGTATGCTTTAACACTAGAACTGCCAGCAGTCTAGGTCCCCCTACAGGTGCCACACAGTCATATGTAATTTCATTGATCATGCCCAGCCAACATGTATATGTGGGCTTCACATGGGTTAAACTTGGCTACATGGGTTCCAAGTGGGTATGGGCCCAAAATTAACATCCTATCTGGGCAAACCCATGTGGGTTGCCTAGGTGGGTCACGCATAGGGAATAAGAGATTGGGCTCAGAGTGTAATCCTACAATCCCCATACAAATGTTGGCTGGGAGTTCACAAACAGTGCTTGATGATGAAAACAATAACCAGTACTCTGCTCCACAGACAAGGTGCTGATAGAGAAAAGCAGGCAAACTCTTTTTTTATGTATTATGAAGGATTCTCTGTCACAAATATTGACTGTAAATATGGTCAATAAGCAGGGGGAGGCGCTTGCCAAGTGGCCAAAGTCTGAAAGTTTGTGTTCTGCTTGTTCAGCAGGAGATAAATTGATCGTACTGTCTCCTTTTTGAATGTATAATGAGCCGTGTGGTTGTTGACTGCAGTGAGGTGATGCCTTGAATGGGTAAAAGTCTGTGGTGTTTTTCAAAACACATTGTAAAACTCATTATTCATGAATGACTTCAACTTGGAATCTTGGATCAGAGAAACTGGTAATTGCTAGAGTTGAAAGGATATACATTTGGTTTCTTTAAGAGTGGATGAAAAAAGTTTTAAATGGGAGGGCAGACAGCCAGTAAATATGAATGATCATTGGAATTAATAAAATACAGTACTGTCCAAGCTGGTGACACGTTTCTTTGTATTTGTCAAAGATACAGACAGAATGCAGAAGATTACAGACTGAATTTTTGACTGTTTTTATTTTTGTATGATATGATATACAGATACAAAGCCAGGGGGAGATGGACTCCTCTTAATAAGACATAAGCTCCCCTGAAAACATGATTTGTGAAATTTTGGGGGCTATTTCTGACATGCACTTCTATTTCTTTATATCTTCATCATCATTATGTGTAAACTTACTTAATGTAATTGTGCATGAGGGTGATTCATTACTTATTCACTTTAATAAAGACACTGCTATTCTGATACACCATTAAAGCGTAGCTGCACAATATCATTGATGTTCAGATCAGAAAATATACATTAATATTTTATCGATTTGTAGTCAGCGTACTGTGTGTCACCGTCTGTCCCCCACAACAGTTGAAAAAAAGAAAGCCGTGGTATAGTTCGCACACTGCAGATCTGGATACAGATCCACCAACTAAACTATCAGAGCTTGACAGACAAAGGTGCTTTTTGTTCAGTATGTAAGATGCAAGGGCTAAATGTATAAAACACAAAACAGTTATTATAATGTCCTTTGCCCACCGTGATGGTTAAAAGTTAAAATAGTTTTAAAAAAGATTTAAAGAAAACTCAAAGAAAACAAAATAATATGAAATTTACTAAATACGTGTACAAAATATTTTGATAAAAATCTTTTTGTAAATTTGAATGTAAATCCTTGAAGCTGATAAACTGATACAACATAGTAGAAAATCCCTATTTTTTTAAATGTAACAATATAATAACAACCTCACAGTGAACACAGAATGTGGGCCACACAAATTATGTTACATTAAAGTAAGTAAAGTAAACTTTTTAAACAAATGTAAAGTAGACCAACCTTGAGAGCAGTATCTATTTCTGATGTAGTAACCCGTCTGTGAACAGATGTCCTAATAATGACTGTTTGTGTTGTTTTTATCAGCATGGAAGCAAAATAGGCTTATTTGCATTATTCCAAACCACTAATGTTATCGTCATTAATCATTCAAACTTTACAAGTGCCAGTCCAGCATAATATTCTCACAAGAATTGTCATTAGTTTTCACCTCCAGTCCAAGATCTGGTGCAATCAAGACCAAAGTGTGAGTTTTAAGTGAATTTCTATGTATTTTTATCATCCAGCCCCAAATTATGGCGCTTGGTCTTGTAATAAATGTATGGTGCTGTTTAACCACAATCCTGAAGTTATAGTCCATTTGCCAGCCACTAGAGCCCTGTTGTAAACCTAGAAATGTTGAGTATCACAAAGTTTTATGTTAGAAATGTACAGTCAGGCTCCCCAGCGTTTAGAAACTAACTAACTGGCATATGTTGGACAAATAAAATTAATAAGCATATCACCTATATGGACAATATTTCAGCAACTGCTTGGCTGATTTAGACAATATTGGAGTGGTTTGTAGGGTTATTGAGGATGCTAAATCCATCTGACATTTTCAAAATAGAAAATGGCCATTGAAACCAGAAGTGACCATATTTCAACTCCCGGTGGGATGAGTTTGATTAAGTTGGAGTTGATTTTGAGACACAGAAGAATAAAGAATTTTGAATAAATATTACGTCTGAACATTTACACAAATGACATTGAGCTCTCTTTATTCAAATGCAGGTCCAATGTATAAGCATGTTAATAACCTCAAAATTAATATAAATCAGCCAACTGGGAGTTGAAATATGGCTACTTCTGATTCAATTGATTCAGCTTACTCAATAACCCTCCAAATCAAGAAATATTGTCCATATAGGTGCTTATTAATGCTAATTAAATGCTGATTTCCCAACATATGCCAGTTATCATCTGGCAGTACATGTAAATGCTAGGGACCCATACTGTATATTTCTAACATACAACTCTGGGGTACTCAACATTTCTGGCTTTTCGTTGCTGGTAAGTAGACTGTTAACCTTTGGCCTTGCTGGGAAACTTTCCTCTTCTCATGAGGTACATGAGAGGTTGGATGAAGCTGCCGAACACAGAGAAAGAGAGAGAGGCAGGAAGCAGTTGACACACGTAACTGTGACGAGAAAGCCGACCTCGCAGTGGCACCACCAGCACCATGGGCAGGTAGTTCAACACCATCATTACCTGCACAGACACACACCTTCAGCCACTTCATCTCTTGAAAACTGGACGTCTATGTTGAAAGGAATACGAGTAATTTAAGGAATGTACTATATATTAGTTGTTCTTAACATTATCATGTTTTGCTCAGTAAGTGAATGTCTAGTCCCGATAATAATAATAAGGTAAAATGGATCTACCTGTATGACCAGAACTGTAATGAAGGCCTTTTTCTTGGCTGGATCAACTTTGTGCTTTCTGGTGCCGTCGCCTGGACCGGGTTGACACAGAACCTGAAAGAGAGGACGTGTCAACAACAATAATGATACAATCCTAGAACTATACTACCACAATAAGACAAAAAATATATAACAGTCTGCTAACTAATTGGTATTTACTAGGAAATGAGATGGTACCAACCATGTCATGGTAGCACTTCAGGAAGGGGTCTAAATAACGCTCCAAAGCATAATTATGGCGATGGAAAAACTGTCATGGCCATTTTTAAAGGGATCCCTTGACCTCTGACCTGAAGATATCTGAATGAAAATGGGTTCTATGAGTCTCCTGACATGTCCACTTTATGTTACTCGCATGCAAATTTTGGGCATACTGGGGTCCCTAAACAGTAGTGGAATTGCAGAAATTGGGAATGACTAGGACACATGACATTATTCAGTGCCCCTCTTCCTTCCCCCAGTCAAAAAAGTGTTGAAACGCTCTCTGCCAGTATGTGCAGCAGCCGCAATGTGGTTTTCTCCAGCGGCAGACTGACCTGCAGGATGCGGACACAGCAGTAAGCCTGCAGGAGCAACAGCAACAGGAAGAGGATCGGGAAGGCAAGGACCAACTTCCAGATGTTACAAACGCACAAGGACAGAATCAAACCCCAAACCAGAGGGAGAGTGCAGAGACGAGTCCGCACAGAGTTATACCTGAGAGACAGAAGAAGGTAGTTATGTACTTTTAACTGTTGAATTTGGTCAGTGAATGTGTGTTTGTTGTATCTCAGACCTCAGGTAGGAGACGGGATGAACCACTCCCAGGTATCTCTCCAGACACACACATGCCTGAAACAGAGGTCGTCCTGTAGAGGGAAGCATAGCGAGCTTAATGAAATACCTTCAATGAGACTGGAAGGATTAAATCCATCAATACTGAAATTGCATTTACTTTGTTTACCTGCACTAAGCAGACCGTAGAAGAAGAGGTTGAACGTATACAGGGAGGTGCTTTTGATGACGTAATAGTTGAGCGGTCGAAGGAAAGAGAGCAGACTGTACACACACTCCAGCAACGCCAAGTTCAGAGTAAACACCTACAACAGAACAGAAGAACTATAAAATGATAACTTTTATTCAATGATAATTGTGTCCAGAGCTCTATATTGTTAAAGAACAAAATGGTATTGTGTGGAGATTCTTCACTCTCATGGACATAATAAAAATCTATGGAAGGTGTTGGGGTAAGTTTTCAGAAGTCCTTTCATCCATTTTCTTCTGCTTTTCCAGCATTGGGTCATGGTAGCAGCAGGTTAAGCGAGGTAGTCTGGACGTCCCTCTCCCTAACAACGTTTTCCAGCTCCTCCTGGAAGATCCCGAGGCCTTCCCAAACCAGATTAGATATACAGTATAATCTCTCCAATGTGTTCTGGGACTACCTTGCAGTCTTCTACCGGTTGGACGTCCCCAGAAAACCTCCAAAGGAAGGCGACGAGGCATCCTGATCAAACGCTATCTCAACTGGCACCTATTGACGCAAAGGAGCAGTGGCTTTAACCAAAGCCTCTTCCAGATCTCCCTACCAGGTACAGCTATATGAGCCAGTTTGGCTCCGTGATCCAAGTATCTTCGAATCCCACCAAGAGTGTTTCAGGGTGTTGTTGCCTGACCGACGTTGTTATGTTGTAATACACTTCCAAGATGAAGGTTTGTTCGTGGTGTCAAATCTCGTCTAGCCTCCATTTGACTGACTGACTTGTACTCAGGTGGGTCGCGACTCCCATCAAAAGTAGACCAACCACGCATTCTCCACGGAGTAGAACCTCTGGGACGAAATCACGAGCATGGTCTAGAATGGGAACGATCAACTCCAGAAGCCTGAACGAGTCGTGACCATGTGCGGTGAAATTTGGGGGTAAGATCGAGCACAGTTGTCTGAAAACCCTTGACTCAACTGAACGGGAAGTAGAAACAGTGACAGCCTCCATCCAGAGAGTTTGGTTTCTTTGTCCTGGGCTACTGTAGAAACAAGGCGGATTCTGTAGAAGAGGACCTGCTACCTATAAATAAAATCAACTCGTTCTAAGGTAGCGAAAACACACATTTTTGTTAAGGGAAAAAAATAAGCTTTGTATATATTGTAAATTTGAGGGAACCTTGGAGTCCCTGAATTACACGTCTCTAGTGGTTACTGGGTGTCAGCGTTTACCTCGGAGGCTTGGATAGAGTGAGAGTTGTGGGAGATCAACCAGACTGTCCAGGCATTCACTGGCAGGCCGAACTAGGGGTCAAAATTCAACAGTTAGTTTATCTTCTTTTAACACAGTAAATAGGTGTTTTTTAAGGCTAAAAAGGAAGAATTAAGTCAGTGGATGACCATTAAAGCTTTCTTTCAGGGAGAACATACCAGGAGGTTGACAGCCTCCACCACAAAGAAGACCTGGACTCCATATGGAGAGGAAGGGCAGGGGTTCCACTGAGATTCCTCAGACGAGTTCTGAGAGGAGGAGTTCATCCTCACTGGAAACCAGTGCAAATACAAATTAGTCTGGAACCTCTCAGCTAATTTTTGATTTCCAAGGGTCATCATCAACTGGCTCAGAACCAAATGCCCATAGAAGTATTGGATCGATCCACAACCAATCAGAATCAGAATCAGAATCAGAAATACTTTAATAATCCCAGGGGGAAATTATTTAAAGGGTTAGGGTTAGCCTAACCCTAATCAGAATGACGAAACCTGAGCTACAACCAATCAGAGCAATGAAACCTGAGCTACAACCAATCAGAGCAACGAAACCTGAGCTACAACCAATCAGAGCAACGAAACCTGAGCTACAACCAATCAGAGCAACGAAACCTGAGCTACAACCAATCAGAGCAACGAAACCTGAGCTACAACAACGAAACCTGAGCTACAACCAATCAGAGCAACGAAACCTGAGCTACAACCAATCAGAGCAACGAAACCTGAGCTACAACCAATCAGAACAATGAAACCTGAGCTACAACCAATCAGAACAATGAAACCTGAGCTACAACCAATCAGAGCAACGAAACCTGAGCTACAACCAATCAGAACAATGAAACCTGAGCTACAACCAATCAGAACAATGAAACCTGAGCTACAACCAATCAGAACAATGAAACCTGAGCTACAACCAACCAGAGCAATGAAACCCTGAGTGGATATTTTACTTTAACGGTACAAATTCACCATAAAATTTTAAATAAATTAACTAGTTGACACACAGTAAGATCGAAGCATTCGGGGCAGCTTTAGTTTTGGGTTATGCTACAATGCAATGCAGCAATCTGAATGAATGAGCATGAGCACAGTTGATGCTTGGACCTCTTTTAATGACAGTATTAATGTGATTATTGATTATCTGTGTAAAGTAATGACTCTTCAGCTCTCAAAGAAAGACTCACTGACTCGTTAACTTCTTTTAACTCCCTGTAGCTGCACCGTGAACTCGTCACAACACGTTGAATATTTCTGAATAACTCACTTTTATTTGAGTAAAATTGATCAGATTTGACCAGAATTAGATTTTTTAAAATTAGATTGAGATATTCTAGAGCTCATCACTCACCTGTGTCTGTGGCTCGGGGGACAGATTCATCAAATGCAAACCAGCGTCATAAACAGCACCAGTCCACCAGTTTTGAATAATAGAACACCTGCATTACACACACACTACATTACTGCGGTGGCGGGTCGGGGTGACTCTGTGACTGCAGCATTATGGGTAGTTGATGACATCAGGCAGCGGCGGGCGGCCTCCAGTTACTGATGAAGGGTCTTAATATGGATGGAGATCTTATCAGTGAGACGTTTGTTATGACAACAGCCAGAAATAGAGAAAGCAACTGATGTACTGTGTGATACGGCTGTAAACGGATTTCTGGTTGAAGAGGAACAAAAAAAAACCAAACAATATATTTTAATATGAACGAGTAAAATCAGAAACAATATTTTAGGAAATAAAACCACAAAGATCTTTCCAAAAATAATTATAAAGGACAAAAAAAAAAGCATAAATAAATACATGTAGAAATACATAAATAAATGTAAAAATATATAAATGAATAAATAAATATAGAGACACATAAATAAATAGGTGTGCAAAAAATAAAATACATATTTAAATAATAAACTACATTTATTGATGCATAAATAAATTAATTAATTTTAAATAAATAAATGTAAAAATATCTTAATAAATGAACACATATAGAAATAAACATTGTCATTACCAAAATACATTTATTTTTCATGTATTTATGTATTTAATGATTTATTTATATTTATTTTTTAGAACGGGACCAAAATAAATGACGTCAAAGCGGTAGAAAACCGGATGGACCGACCCGTTCCGTGACGTGTTTCCGGTCGGACTGTTTTTATGGACGGACCGCTGTACCTTGAACTTGTCAGATTCGTCCGTCCCTTCTCTCTCTTCTTCTTCTTCTTCTTCTCCTCCACGTTTAATCAATTAATCAATTAATCAATTAACGATGTCTAATTACCCGCATCTACTCCGTCACGCGCCGTCGGCCCTCGTGCGGCTGTCTCGTGACGTCGGTTCGTGCTGTAACGGCCGGTTCGTCCGGTTCGGTTCGTCCGCTGACCGGAGCAGCTGCAGAGGGTCCAGACCGGTCCGGGTCGGATGCGCCTCCGGGTTCTGGGGCGACACCGCGACCTCAGGTACAGACGCCGCTAGCATCGGTTAGCTTCAGTATGCTAATGCACGTTCCAACAGGTGAGCGGCGAAGTCGGGTTGAAGTTGGATGTGCTGTGAATTACTGAAGATATCTGCAGTTTATTTACAATAACTTCTGTACAATGGGACCAAATCACTCCAAATCAGTGCCGAATTATTTACTACACTGCACACCTGGGACACACCTATTTCTATCCTTTTCTATTGGTTCTTCTGTTTTATTTTAATATTTAAATGTAAAATCTGGATTTATTTTCATTAGGTTCTGTGTCATGTGACCAACTGACTCCAAATCAATGCCCAATTATATCACTACACTCCACACACTTATTTTTTTTATCAATTTTTCAAAGCTTCTTTTATTTTTTATTAATATTTATATTAAAAAATATGTTTTTTGTTAGTCATGTGACATTTCTATTGTTTTATTTTGATATT